TGGCTGATATTTCAAATGAACTTTTACAAAGTGAATTCAGATGAAGCAAAACAGTATTCAAGAAGAATATTGATCAAAATTAATAATGAAGTATTAGTTGAAATACTCATTCAGGAACTAGTTTTTGGATAAAAGATCATTAATAAATTTATAGAAGGCTGTTATAGACAACACGGAGATTATCTTTTAATGATAGAATTTATAAAATAAATGAGTGAATAGAAAAGCCATGCGAATTATCTCTGCATGAAATGGATTGCTATTAGAAGATTAAAGTAAATATCTAAGTTTATTTATTTATTATGGTTAGAATAAGAGTGGGGTTATCATCAAAATTTCTAAAGACTTTGATTCTTATAAAAAACAAAAATTAGTCTTGAACAGTTGTTTTTACATTTTCTACTATTTCAATACCGGAGGAATATTTAAATTGGGCAATTAGTCAAAGAAGAAACATAGACGGATTATCTAAACAAAATATAGGTTTTTCTTAGCTCAAAGTGAAAAGTAATTATCATTTGTAAAAGTTGGGCTATTTTTTTATTTATTTGGTTACCTAAAGAGTAGTTCTTCAAGTTATATCAACTGTACTTTATCATTAAATTCAACTTTAGATCAAATAAGTCTATCTTTTTTATATTTCTATCATAAATTTTACACACAATATAATTAGATTCTGTTTTTCAATAAGATTCTTTTGATTTACTTATTACTTTTGGATTAGTAAAGTAAAGTATACTAAAAATGAGAATTATACTTTTATTTATTGTAATGGATTTCTATTTTACACTAAGAATCTAATCAAGATAGTGTTTTTGTGATGATATTAAATCTAATTCTTAGATGACATGTAATTTAAATTCTGCTCAATATCAATTAATTAATTTAACTTATATACAATTACCCTAAATTAATTGATTTATCTTGAATTAACAATAGCTGCATTTTTTGAATTTCTACTTATCCAAATAATTAATTACGAATTAAGGAACTTAAATTTTGAAACAAAAATTATAATTTGTTAACAATATTTAATTATTTAGAAAAGGCAAATAAATAAAAAACACTCTTAAAGTCATCTATAATCTGCTTAAATAGAAACCATATTCATATAATATTCAGACATAATTTTCAATTAGTCTCTAATTATCAACGTATTTTCTAATCACAAATTGTCTCTCAGATTTACTCCAACTTATCAAATATTGCCCATCATTGCTTACTACACCATAAATTTCTCCCCAATACTATTATTTTATTTAAATTGCTTAAACTATTTCAAACTCAAAATCGTCGTCATTTTAGTTTTGTCTTGTGTTTTAATCTCTTAACATTCTACTTTCTTATGTATGCTGATAAAGTTTAGATAATGACCATTTTTACTCAAGAAAAATCCGTTTTAAGGGCTATAAATTATTGGAAAGTAATAATCACAAGGTTAGTCTACTCCTTTAACTTAAAGTTCTTTTACCTTTTAGTAAGATTAATCTTATTAATGTTTATAAATCCACAATTATGAGGACCTCAACTGAAAAGCAAATATTTCACTAGTAATAAAACCGATGCGGTATCCAATCTCACTCCTAATAATTTATTTAATTTCCCAATAAGAATCATTGTTCTGTTTTGTTATCACTAATACCCACCCTCTATGAGTACATGAGATCACCTCATCTCTTTATGGTTTAATCGACAATCCATAAATGTCTCCAAGATAAGAATTTTAATACTCATTTATTATTTAAGACTTCTGCCAAAGATTATTATTGCTTTTCCAAAAAATTATTGCACCATCATCACTACCTGATACAAATAAATTCTCTTGATAAGTGTGTAATGCTAAACAACTGATTGGTTTCTAATGTTCCTTTAATCTTTAAATATACTTCCCCTGATGAAAGCAAGATGAAATGATGAAATTTTTTATGGAATTTTCCCTT